CCTCTCAATAAAAGATGAAGCTTGAAGATAGAAGCAAGAAATAATGTGTTATTTTGGATATGATGAAAACACAAAGGCTTATAAGGTGATAGGTCTGATCAACAAAAGGGTGGCCATAAATTGTGATGTCTGAGTTGATGAGATGAGTGAATGGAATTAAGGAGAGAGACTCATTGGAGGATATTAGAGAAAGTTGAGTTGTTACACCACTAGTTGTAGCCAGTTCAGAAGTCAAAGAGAAAGAAGAACCACAACCTAGAATGCAGAGTCTACAAGAACTGTGTAACTTAACGAATGAGATACATATTGTGCGTCTTTTGGCAGATTCTAAGAACATCATATTTGATGAGGTAGTGTGTGATGAGAAGTGACAAGCTGCTATGGATGGTGAGATCCAAGCAATAGAACAAAATAATACGTGGATGATGACCGAGTTGTCGATCCACTCAACTAAAGGGTGTAAAATGAATATTAAAAAAGAAGATGAATACACAAGAAGAGGTAGAATGATATAAAGTTTGGTTGGTTACAAAGGGCTACACAAAGAAAGAAGGGATATACTATGATGAAGTGTTCACCCTGGTGACAAGGATGAAGACTGTTTGACTACTAATCTCTATAACAACACAATATAAATGGTCGATCATGCAGATGGACATTAAGTCAGTATTTTCTTATGGTGTGCTCAAGGAGGAAGTGTATATTGAGCAACCACCTGGATATGCGAAGAAAGGAGAGGAGATGAAAGTTTTGAGGTTGAAAAAAGGTCCCTATGGGCTAAAGTAAGCTCCTTAAGCATACAATGATGGGTTTGTACAATGTCCCTATGAACATGTCGTATGTGAAGAAGAGTGGAGATAATGTGATGTTTGTTGCTCTTTATGTCGATGGTATCATTTCCATGGGAAATAGTTCTAGAGTTATTTAATAGTTTAAGAACACAATGACGATTGAATTTGAAATGACTGATTTGGGTTTGATGAAGTATTTTCTTGGCTTTGAGGTTAGACAGAAGGAGTCAAGGGTATTTGTGTCCCAGTAGGCATATGCAAAGGAGATTTTGAACAAGTTTGGGATGACCGGTTGTAATCTAGTTTCAACCCCCACGGAATCAGGATTGAAGCTTTCAAAGTTTGATGGAGGAGACCGAGTCGATCCGAGCATATATTAGAGCTTAGTGGAAAACCTTCGTTACCTCACAAGCATAAGACCTGACTTGTTGTTGAGTGGTGGGGTTGTTAATTGGTTTATGGAAGATTTGAGCTATTCTCACTGGAAGGTGCTAAAGCGAATACTAAGGTACACCTGAGACATAATATCACTCAGACTGTTGTATACGAGGTCGAATAATTATCAATTTGTCGGGTACTTGGATAGCGATCGGTGTGGAGATGTGGATGATCGAAAGAGTACATTAGGATATGTATTTTTTATAGGGAACACAACTTTCACTTAACTTTTGAAGAAGCAACTCATAGTGACGTTATCAACGTGTGAAACCGAGTACATAAGAACACCGTGGAATGTGTGTTATGCAATATGACTTAGGATTTTGCTGAGCTTGTTGGAGGAGAAATAATTCAGTGTGACGATGATCCAAGTTGATAACAAGTTAACTATTGAACTATCAAAGAACCTGATCAACCATAAGAGGAACAAACACATTGATGTGCAGTTTCATTCATTCGAGAACACGTGAAGGAAGGAGATGTGGAGCTCGTGCACGTGGCAAGTCAATGTCAAGTTTTTGACATCTTCTCGAAGTCGTTGCCTATGGTGTTATTCGAGAATTACAATAAGTTGATATGGATGACGGTTGGAAGCAACATAGTCAGGGGGAACATATCAGTTGATTATTGATCTCAATTAATTGAAGAGAAGCATTTTATTTTACAAGAAAGTTTTGTTAAATAGAATTAAATGTTAGTTGAATATTATGTTTTTGTCATCATTAGAAAGTTACAATAGTTATTGTCTTGTCAAGTAGTTACAACATAATGCCCATTTTTAAACCTATAAATAATTGTATCATTTATTTACATCACTATGAATAATAATATTCAATTTTCTCTAAGTCTATTTGTTGTTAAATTCTTATACATCTTATCTAGAAATTCAACTTTTAGTTTATTCTAATTCAATTTTATAAAATGGTATTGGAAAATTAAGTAAGAGTTTGAAATTATATATTAAATAGGAATAAAAAAGTTGAATAGTTTATAAATGATAAATGTAACTTAATATTTCAAAATTTTTTATTAAAAATGATATCATATTTGTTTATAAGATAATAATTGAATTAAAATATAGATAAAATTGTATTATATATAAATAAAAATAAAATAAAAATATTTATTTAATATCTCTTATTAATATTATTATAAATAATAATGTTAAACATATTTATATTATATATATATATATATATTTAAATAATTATTTTTCTTTTAATTTTTATTTTTAATATATATATATATATATATATATATATATATATATATATACGTGTGTTACTCTTTTTTTCTTATTGGTTCACATATTTCTTTTTTTTCTTTCTTCATATACATATTTTTTTGTTAATTATTTTTTTCTATTATCCTATATTCTTTCTCCATTCGTTATAATATAAAAAAAAAAACTAATTTTTATATAATATAGATAATAATAAGAATAATAATATCTACGTTTTTTTTTTGTCTTTACAAAAATGAAGAAAATCACTTGTAAAATATGATTTTTAATACGTAGATTCTTTATCTAGACTGGGTGATAAAAAATAATTTTTCAAATTTACCTCAAAAAAAAAATCAAACATTGTACCCAGTTGGACTGTGCTAAACTTGTGGGAGTGTCCTTGGCCTTTGGTTGTTGGTGCAAGCAAAATAAAATTCTAGCCCCCCACGAGGCCCCAGCAGATTCAACGTGCTGCTTTTGAGGGAGTGATCTCAACTAAAAATCCTTTACGTTCTGCTTCGTCCACTCACAGAATGTTCTTTGATTAACACGTAAGAAAAAGGCTTTTCGTAATTTACACCTGCTTCACCTCAAGTGATTTTTCTTCAAATGTTCACTTTTATAAATTCTAAAGTAGCCGCATATATTACTTAATTCTGAATTCAAAACCTTAAACATTCCCGAGAACTAAGAGGTTACGTTATCCTAAAATTTTATAATTTTAGTATATATTTATAATTTTCATCTCAAATTTAATAGTTATTAAATATATTTATTTATATATTTATAATATTTATTTTTTATCTTTTTTTTATTTTATTTATTATTTATTAATAATATATTAAATATTTCAACCACGTTAACTTTAGAACGTGTTCGGCATAATATAATATCCCATCTTCAACTCATGTTCCTAATATTGGAGGACTCAACTCACATGTTTAAGGAATCCTCCTAAACAAGGACAATCACTCATTGATGTTCTCATATTTGCTTGTTTATGATAAAATGAGTCATCCTCTGTGTTTTGAACTATCCCCTTTTTTGTCTATCAAAAGCAGTTGGAATGAATTGACCGGCTATATTTACGATGAATTGTAGATTTTAGTTTGTTCCATTAAGAGACAGATTAACGGCTGATACACCATAATTTATAAAAAATTAATTTATTTTTTAAAATCAAATTTTTTAATAAATTTAATAATAAGATTATTATTTATTTATTAATAATTTAATATATATATATATATTATTTCAATTTAATAATATAAATCAATATATTATTTTAAGAAATTATAAAGAAATTATAATTTAAAACAATAATAAAATTTAATAATAATAAATAATAACAAATATATATATATATATATATATATATATATATATATATATATATAAACAATGTTAAAACTTATAAAATTTATATTTTTTATATTAAAAAATTTTAATATTTATATCTTTGATAAAATTTCATATTACTCGTTTGAGTAATTTTTACATCTTTTATTCAAGTCATAAGAATAAAAATAATCAGTGTTTAGGATGAATAACGAGAACATGAGAGAGAATATTGTGTTTCAGATGAGGAGAATATTTTATGTGAGAATGAAATTTTTTTTAATTTTCTTTTTAAAATTTTTAATTTTATATATTATCTTTATAATTAACTTTATTATAATAAAAAATTATTTTTTTATTAATTAGGCAGAGTCATGGTCGGCCCACTGTCCCGTGGGTTGGCCCTGCAGGTTGTTGGACTTGCGCAGGACCGACCAAAGCCGATTGAGGGACTGAAAATACCAACTCACCCTATCATATTATATTATATTATATTATATTATATTATGACTGGACCAATCCGTTTTGCTATTCCTATATTTATCATATAAGAAGCTCCTTAAATTCAATTCAAAGAAAGAAAAAAAAAAGTTAAAATTATAAAAAAAAATTATACTTCCAAAATTAATAAATTGGTAATTTTATATAACTACTTGCATTCGATTTATTTATTTATTATTGGTAAAATGACACTTTTTTATTTTATATAAATTTTTCTGTAAATAAATAAATAAATTTTCATTTTGTTTAAAGTTTTTTTTTCACACTTTCTTCCGTCTTCTTACCGAATGTACATTTATGACAGACCCATATATTGAAAAACTCATCTTGAATTTTACTAGTGTGTAAGAATTTATCAAATTAACTGTAATTACAGCACTAAAAATGGGATCAGACTCCATTAGTCGATAAAACTACAGCAAAGAAAATTGGTTGTGTATGTAATAAATCACGTGGACAAAACCGTAAGTAAAACTAATAAATAATGCGATTCAGCTAGGAGCAATAATGCAAGTTACCGTTAATTCTTCCAAATTCCAATTTTGAATGCATTAAGAAAGACCTTCCCTTTGAATTTGACGGTTTTACCCACAATAAACAGTTGGCCGTTCCCGTTCCCTTTTGCCTCCCATTATATATATCGCCTCTTCACATCCCTTTCTCCATTAACACAGAACAAAGCTCACAAAAGAGAACGCAGCTCTCAAATGGCAACCTCGCTCTCACGTTTCGCAATTCTCCTTCAGTTTCTTTCTCTCATATTTAACCTCGCAAGTGAGTTCCACTGTTCCGCCACCCTTCTTGCAATCACTCACACAGTTAGTTGCAAGTAACGTTATGTAACTGGATTGAGATAAACAAACAACAAAGTGAAGTTACTATTCTTGTTACTTTCTGCAGGTTCTGAATCTTTCATCGGCGTCAACTATGGACAGGTTGCCGACAACCTTCCCCCACCTTCCGAGACGGCGAAGCTGCTCCAGTCCACGGCGATAGGGAAAGTTCGATTGTACGGAACCGACCCGGCCATAATAAAAGCGCTGGCCAACACGGGAATTGGAATCGTGATCGGCGCAGCGAACGGCGACATTCCAGGCCTGGCTGCGGACCCGAACTTCGCGAAAACGTGGGTGAACACCAACGTCGTGCCGTACTACCCCGCGAGCAACATCATCCTCGTGACCGTTGGAAATGAAGTGATAACCTCGAACGACGCGAGCCTTGTTAACCAGATGCTGCCAGCGATCCAGAACGTGCAGAACGCGCTGGACGCCGCCTCTCTCGGCGGCAAAATCAAGGTGTCGACGGTTCACTCCATGGCGGTTCTGAAGGACTCCGAACCTCCCTCCGCCGGAAGGTTCCACCCTGAGTACGACACCGTTTTGCAGGGGCTTCTGTCGTTTAACAATGCAACGGGCTCGCCCTTCGCCATCAACCCTTACCCCTACTTTGCCTACAGAAGCGACCCTGGCAGAGCCGATAACCTTGCTTTCTGCCTCTTTCAGCCTAACGCGGGCCGAGTTGATTCAAACACCAACATCAAGTACATGAACATGTTCGATGCTCAGGTATCCACAATTATGCTTGTAATTAACTGAAATTAGATGATTTTTATGGATAAAATTGTGATTAGTTGAAGCCGGCTCCAAAACCGACAATTATGCTATCACAACGGACATCAAATCGGAATACATATAATAATATGACCAGTTTTCATTAAACCTGCTCTTCAGTTTAGGCGTCCTTTACTTTAGTTTGAAATTTACAAAATGTTCATTTTATTTTAAAAGTTTGCAAAATCTTTAGGTTTAATGAAATTACACCACCCTATACCTTTCTCATTAAGATATTACTTTCACTTCTTTATTTCTATGACTGCAGAAGAAATTAAGGAAGATCTGGTTTGAGATGAAGATAAGCATCACGTTGTTATATGAATTAAGGAAAGTTCATATAAAATAAAAAAAAATGGAGACTTAGGACCTAAAATTTTACCAAACCTGTGGTCGATTGAGTGTAATGTTTGATGAAACGAGAACAAGAGTGATAATTATAATTTTAGGGATTAAATGTGAAAGCGAGATTCTTTGGTTGGTTTGTGATGATGGGAATTTAATAGTAAAAAATGACGTTAACGTTATGTTGATGTTGATGTTTTTGTGTGTGTAGGTGGATGCCGTTCGATCAGCGTTGGATTCTTTGGGGTTTAAGAATGTTGAGATTGTGGTTGCGGAGACAGGGTGGCCCTACAAGGGAGACAACAATGAAGCTGGTCCAAGTCTTGAGAATGCTAAGGCTTATAACGGTAATCTAATTGCGCACCTTCGATCTATGGTTGGGACTCCATTGATGCCAGGAAAATCAGTGGATACATACCTCTTTGCTTTGTACGATGAGGACTTGAAGCCCGGAGCCGCTTCTGAGAGAGCCTTTGGACTTTTCAACCCTGATCAATCCATGATCTATGATGCTGGCCTCACCAAACAGCAACAAGCTAGTAGCCCCGTGCCTGTAGTTGCACCGGTATGAAAGAATTTTAATATGAATAATACTGCTAACAGTTAGATATTGTTGTTAACGAGAAATTATTATATGTGATCTCATGTCACTGTGTTCTTTGTCAATCTTCACATGACACGCGTCAGGTGAGATTGACTGAGACCATCACATAGTGTGGAAAAATGTAATAATTTCTCGTCATTGATTGTCCAACTTGAATTGATGAATGGACCTGAAGCATGACTTTCTTCATAGTTCTCATCTTGAAGCTGTTCTAGACTCATAGTCTATAGCAGTATTTAACAATGTATTTCTTAATTTGATTGAAGACTCCGGATGTGTCAAAATCTCCAGTGATACCAGCGCCAACAGACCCGGGTCAAACACAAAAATCTCCAGTGATTCCAGCGCCAATAGGCCCGGGTCCAACACCAAATAAAGCAGAATTCTTGAGTAGACATGAAGCCACAATTATGCAGTCTTTAATAATGATCACAGTTCTGATCTTAATGTTGTTCTAGCTAGTAGTATTTAATATAATATATTTCTTAATTTTATTGAAGACTACTCCGGATGTGTCAAAATCTCCTGCGACTCCAAAGCCAACAACAGTTCCAAGTCCAACCAAAACAAATAATAGTGCAACTTGGTGTGTGCCAAAAGCAGGAGTGTCAGATGCACAGTTACAGGCAAATTTGGACTATGCTTGTGGGCAGGGGATTGATTGTGTCGCAATTCAACAAGGAGGGGTTTGTTTTGAACCTAACACTCTACTAAACCATGCTGCATATGCCATGAATCTATTGTATCAAACTGCTGGACGGAATCCATTGACTTGTGATTTCTCGCAAACAGCCATGTTATCAACGAATAATCCAAGTAAGTTCCCATTTCCATGTGTTCTTGCCTCATAACTTTTTAATTCTCCAACGAGAAGCCAAAAATTAAAATCTGAATAACTACAGAATAGATTGTTTAATTAGGAGTTTAGGACTCTCAGCACCACACTATACATGCATTGCATGAAAATTTGATGTTACTTCTGAATAGTTTTTAATGTTTCTACAATCATGTTGCATGAACTCCTTTTTGAAAAAACTAAAGCCTATGGTGTGTGTCTTGCGTAGATCTCTTGTTTGTACGGCATATTTTGAGAAAGGATAATGTGAAGATGGGGTTTTATCTGTAACTCAATGTTACTAAACGCGTTGGTTTTTAGCAATTTTATATATGATCATGATTTTATCTCGTTTCCTGATATTGTGAGAAAAACAGATAAATGCAGTCAATGCCATCATAATTTCTAAGTCATGGGTTACTATTACGATCCCAAAAACCTTGATGTTCTGGTTAAAGTCTTGGATTTTAGTGTAATTAGATAATAAACTGCTTTCATCGTCCCATATCAATTGGAATGCTGGGTTTACAATATTTTCTCTTTGTTTATTTTGTAGGTTACAAGAGTTGTCTTTATGCTGGTGGAAATGCCTAACCTAAGGAAGAAGAAATTAGATAAAGGAGGGCACTTTTTGTTGTTTAAATTATTCTCTCTTAATTGCCAAGAAATCCCCTGGTTCTTAGAGTGCTATGTAGATTAGGAGTGTGCATGTACGAGGAGGATCTTCCTCTGTTTCTAGTGTCATTTTTTTTAATGTCATTATGTTAAGCAAATTGTTGCTTTGTTTATGTGTGATTTGTTGTGAGTCATCATTTGAGATCTCTGTGTCCATTTGTATATACTGATTTAATAATACATGTGTATGTTTTCTTCTCTTAAATTTTGGTTATGTTTTAATTGGCATAATTATTTTTTGTTACAAAATTATTTTTGACTTTGCCAAAATGTAATGGAAGATACCATTGAGGTGTTAATAACCAGTATCATATTTCGGTCACGTGACTGACTTGTTTGAATTGATGCTTACATGATAAAGTCTCATTGTTCTCGATTTGAGAATGAGAGGTTGTGTGGTGTTATATAACATATGAGTGACGTCTTATCTTAATCACATGACTGATCCTTGTTATTATGGTGACCCATCACTTAGTTTCAAGACCAAGGTTATTAAACTCGAGAGTTTATGTAGACTTATGGAAGATATGTAAACCCAACTCGTAAGAGTGTATTTCATATAAAAAATACAAATTTAACAAAAAGTATAAGCATGATAATATCAATTCTAGATTAGTGAAATAAATAACATCAAATATAAGTTCTTAAAGTGATAAGATAATAATAAAATAACTACAAAGCACAAATGTTAAGTTTATGTCTTCATCTAATCCTCTAATGAGATCATCTCCTCAGTGATCTTCATCACCATTTTCATTATCATCATCATCTTCAAGTTCTTCCTCATATGAGAAGTCCAGTGGTAATCTTCTTCGAGGCGTGACTCCCCTAAAATTTTGTAACTTATATATTTATAATTTTAACCTTCTAAATTTAATGATTATTAAATGTATATTGTATATTTACAATTATGCTCTCTCACCTCTTCATATTCTTTTACATTTTCATATTCATTTATTATTTATTAATAATATATTATTTGGTCCTCCAAAATTAATGGTCAAAATCCGCCACTTGAGAAGTGTGTATCAATATTGGGATAAAAAGTTATATTATCAAACTCAAGTGCATCTAAAGTTGGATCATATGAACTTGGTCCAACCAAGTAAGCATTTCCACCATCACTTCCCACTTGAATTTGCTCAACCTCAAAAATTCATCATCTAACTTAATACCATCAAATGGGAAAGCAACATTTTGCCTAATTTGTTTATTTTTCAACTTCAAGTTATACATGACATAAACCAAATCATTCATCTTTTTCTTGTCCAAATGGTTTCTTCTTCTTGTATGAACCTATAATTGAGGAATCAATTTTAATAAATATATAAACTAAACCAAGATAATTAAAAGCACAAATAAATAATAAACTTGAATTATTAGTTCAAATGAGCTCTAATTACGTTCACACCTAGAAGAACTACAAGTCAAACTCAAAACTCGAACAACAAACATCTTCAACTCTAAAGTTCCATCCCCAAACATCTTCCACAATTCTCCATGAAACATAACTTTTCTACAATCCTTTGCATCTTTCATAGAAAAGAGTCCTTTTGCATAATGAAAGTCAATGAGTTGTAAATTGATTTTTCCTTTATGCAGTATCATTAATCAATCTTTGCATCCATATGTATACAACCCTCCTTTCACCTAAAGATCATCATTTCTAAACTTAGGCTTATTGTGGCTGCCGTCCCCCGCGCGACGCAGCGCGGGGAACGAATAGTGCGAGCGGTCGCGATGCGATGACTGAATCTCACGTTTTCGTAAAATAGTTTGGTCATCACTTTTAGGATGCTCGACAATCGAACTAACCTTAAAAGTGAGGTTTTCGCAAAAAATGGATTCTATGGAGTCGTCATCAATGTTTTAACCATAAACATAAAAAAAGGATAAAAAAGACGTTGGTTAAAAAAAACCAACTTTGACCATTATAACCAAAGTTGGGTAAGGGAGTTAGTTACGTGTGGGAAAAGTGTTAACACCCCACAATGCCTGTTAAGTGGCAAAAGTTAACGTAATTATGCTTTAAATTGTTATTTAACCACTTGAATTATGTTGATTCTAATCTATTTTTTTCCTAATGTAGGATGAATTTGAAGAATACCTGGGTACAAGATCGATGATCATATTTCTCAAGTTAATTGAAGAAAAAGTGGAAAATGTGGGTGCACTTCCTTTGAACTCTTTTGTATCTTGGTGATATTTTGATATATTAATCTATGTTCTTGATGTTAATATTCTTATCCTTTATGCTCTTTAATGTTTATCTTTGATGTTTGGGATGTATTGGAAAATATATCTTGAAACCCTAGATTAGGTTAATAATTTGTTACGTTAATTGTTAGGAATGGTAATGGATGTATCAATTGCTTAACACCCTAAACCTAATACTGGGAAATCTATTAAATATATGAGGAATCAATGTTTATTAGGTTTTCTTATGAATTTCATGTGTGAGGAATCAATGTGAATGATTTAAGTAGGTGACATCAACATTGATAGGTTAATTGATGTTTTTAATTTGACCTAACCATTATACAAAAGAGGAAAAAGGAATTAAATCAATCCTAAGTTCTTTTATTTGATCTTTTCTAAAAACACTTTACAGTTCTTTACCATTTATTTTCAACCTAAATCTTTATAAAAAACCAGTTTTGTGTTAATCCACTTAGTAAACTTATGATTTGGAATTTTCAGTGAAATCGTTCCTCATGGGATTGACTTTTATTTAATTGAAATACTATACTGCGATTGATAATATTGGTACGCTTGTCAAATATTTAACAAGTATTTCTGGTGCCGTTGCTAGGGAGCGACATTCCTTAAAAATTCTTTGTCTAGCTTATTATTTATTTTTTATTATTTTTGTCCTATGCTAATTCTTGCTTGAGTTGCTATTTGATTTATGCTTTTAAGAGGACATGTATCTATAGATCCGTTGGAATTTGATCCTGAGATTGAAAAAGTCGCTTGGAGGAATCGTGGTAGAAGAAGAAGGGAAACTTAAGAACAAACAACAAGAGAATTAGTCAACTCTTCTCCCACACTCAACTTTCCAGACCCAATCATAGAAGACATGGAGGGAGAAAGAGGGAATCCACCTAGAAGAACACTTGGAGACTATGTTATGCAACAAGGTTAAGGTCCGAGACACTTTTCTAGTATTGCGATACTAGCCAACCAATCTTTGGAGATGAAGCCAACTTTCTTAAGCTTGATTAGTGCTCATCAATTCACTAGAATGGATCATGAAGATCCCTATATTCATTTGTCCACTTTTTATGAGTTGATTGGCACCATGAGATTTAAAGAAGGAGATATTGAATTTGAATACTTGAGATTGTTTCCTTTTTCATTGGCTGGCAGGGGAAAGGAGTGGTTAAAAACACATCCTAATCAAATTTTGACTAGTTGGGGGAATGTAGAAGAGAAGTTCTTGAACAAATTTTTTCCACCATCCCGCTACATTAAGGCAAAATACGACATTTCTACTTTAAGACAAGAAGCAGACAAACCTTTTTGTGAAGCATGGGAGAGATTTAAATCACTGTTAAGGAGGTTCCCAAATCATGGATTTGAAGACATTGCCCAGTTGAACATTTTCTGCACTGTCCTGAGACCTAATACAAAGATGCTTTTAGATGCTGCATCATGAGGAACCATGATGTCTGTTGATGTTGAACATGCCACAAGAATTATTGATGCACTAGCCTCTACAGACCAGCAGGCCCAACATGATAGACATCTAGTTCAGAGAAAATAAGTGTTTGATCTTAACACCACAGATGCTATCCTAGCTCAGAATAAAATTTTGACTCAACAGATTGAAGCATTGACCAAGCAAATGGCAAAATTGCCTCAACAATTACATGTTGTCCAATCCACTTCCAATCAACAAATGAGTTGTGAATTTTGTGGAGATGATCATCCAAATGGACAATGCTCTTACCAAGGCAACATACAAGAAGAAGAAACTCATTATATGGGTGCTCAAAGTGATAGTGGTAAAGGAAGACAAGCAAATTTCCCTAATTCCAACAATTATTAGAACAATTTTTCACAAGGATGGAGAGGGAATCAGAATCAGAATTTTGGGTGGAAGCAAGGTGTTAGTACATCTAATAGACAATCTCCAAATCAACAACAGTCATATCAGCAACCTCCATATCAACAACAACAACAATATTATCCTCCAGTACATGAGAGAATAGCCAAACTGGAAGACACTTTGGAGAAATTCATGCAAGCTTCTTTGTCTAATCAGAAAAATACAGAGGCTTCGATCAGAAATTTAGAGACATAGGTGGGTCAATTGACTAAATAGTTATCTGAGCAATAAGGAGGACATTTTCCAGCCAACACACAAACCAACCCCAAGGAGTATTGCAAGTCAATAACTATAAGGAGTGGAAAAGTTGTAGGTAAGGGGATTGGTGACAATCTAGCTGTTGAAGAAGAAGTTATGGGAAAAAAAGATGAAGGGCAAGAAGAGGAGAGTAATAAAGAAAGACATCTCCCTAATGAGAATAATGAAGAGGGAGAAGAAAGAAAAAAGATAACAAGAGGAGAGAGTAGCAAAAATGAATCTGCCCAAGAAAAAGTAAGGAGTCAAAAACCATTTGTGAAGAAGTTACCATATCCTAAGGCTCCTTCAAAAATAGACAAAGAAAGGCAATTCACCAGGTTTATGGACATTTTCAAAAGGTTGCAGATTAATATACCATTTGTGGAAGCTATGGAGCAAATGTCAACATATGCCAAATTTATGAAAGAACTCCAAACTAAAAAGAGAAGATTTGCTATAGAAGAAATAATAGAACTGGAAGTAGGGTGTAGTGCAATTTTTCAAAAATCCTTGCCAATAAAATCCAAAGATCTTGGTAGTTTTACTATCTTTGTTACCATTGGTGCATTAC